AAAGACTTGACACTGGCAAAGAAAATCTATCACTCTTTAAGGAAACAAAAATCCAGGCAAGCGAGACTACCAAAATTCCCTATCAGGTTACACATGAAACAGAGATTATTAAGACCTATAGATCAGCAACAGGAAGCTTGTTTTTCCCTATCCTCGCCCAGCTATGACTTTCTCTAGCTGACATATGAAAAATAAATTCTTTAAAATATCAAACTAAAGGAAGGACCACAAGAGAGGTAATAAGTCCATTAGACCCCCCAATAATAAAGAGGAAATAAAACAGGATAAGATTGTTTCATAAAAATAAGTTATTTTTTTACATGACCCTTGAGAAACAAAGATGAGAATACTTGTCCTGGGATTACTTTTTCCACAGAAAGAAGAATAAGGCTAGAAATAGAGAGGTTAAAAAAACCTTTGTGAAATTAAAATAGCAATTAAGGCACTGTTTCTTCAGTTAAATTAGACACATGATGAAGATATGGGCCGCTCCCTGCAGGAGGAGATCCTGCTTTATTCACCTTAGGTTTGTCCCAAGGTGTTTGATGAGGGCAGAAGGAAAGAAAAGGTTTTGAAAAAAGTTCCATAAACCTAAATCCCAGAAGCACATCCCTCTTCCATCCCCAAAAGGGGAAAGCTCCAAACCCTCAAAGTGACTAACCAGTGTGCCTCAGCTCTGATGCAGAGGTCAGAAGCAGCAGCAAGAAAAGACTGTTTCTTGTTCACAACTGTTTGGTTATGGACTCATCTGCAGAAATGATAACTAGTACCGTTTGTGGTGGCATTTTTTAGGGAGAGGAGAAGTTAAGCCAGAACAAAGTCTGACTGCATAGACTTCTGAAAAGCTGTCAGCTGCCTGTATACTTTACAATCACAACTCACCCCGGACACATTTCAAGTTAGTGACTGGCTCCATGATCTATCCTAATCCTTTAAACCACCCAATCATTTAAGTAACCAGGCTTCATCTTGGTTTCAATAATAACTTATTAGGAAATCATTTAAGGAATATTAGGAAGTCTTTAAGGAAAATGAAAAAAAACAAACAAACAAACAAAAAAAAAAATATCAAAAACCAACAAACCGTCGCCCACAGATCAGACATTGAGTAATCCTACAGACACCTTAAGAAAAATTGCCTATCCTATTTTAAGCTGCTTTCTGTGTAATACATAAAAATGTGCTGAAGTAACTCATTGCAAAAGAAGATAAGTCTTTATACAGAAATGGAGTTCCATTCACATCCATGTTTTCACAACATGCTTGAGGAATGCATGCACCTTGACCTGCGTCCTGTGGTGCTGTGCTGACTCTGGTATGCTTATGCTGGAGCCCAGCAGAGACTCAGCATGGGTAGATGCAGTTTGCTGATGGTGGTTTTATTGGGATTGAGAATGGTTTACAACTGAATCTTGTCAGAAATGTTCTCATTAATTCCTCCCCACATTAAGAAAATGCAGATTTTGATCTTGTTGCCTCCCTTTCCCAGTTCACAGCCTGACAACCCTGAACTCCAACCTCCCAATTGTCTTCTGCATTCTAGAGGTGGTTTAATCCAAACTCCATTCTCTTGCTACTTCTAGACCCATCTCTTCATCTCTGCCTTACTTGTTTTTGCCTGTTTTAGAGCTTCTACTGTATACATCTTCAGACTTCTCACAGCAGGTTGAAGTTGAGTGTTAAAGTGAAGGAAGAGTAAGAATAGGGTTTGACCTGCTGCAAGCTGTTTCCGATGCAATACAACATGAAGAAAGAGTATCACCCCACAAATTACACTGAATTTTAATCTGTTCTCACTCTGATTATACACAGTGAGGTCTGTGTTATGAACTCTTACATTCTTCCCCACATCCAAATGCATTGCTATAATTGAAGGCAGAATAAGTTCATTCATCCCAAAGCAATACCCTGCCCACTTGGTGCTGTATCGTATTTTCTGCCTTCACTGGTAGTATGTTGTTGGGCCAAGAATATATTACTTATTTTGGCAGATATCTTTAACTCCAAATCAACCATACATGCTTACAGTGCTGCACAGTCACCATGATGCAATTGCAGTAGAGTGGCCAAACACATATGAAATGTCCATATAAAGTAAAATTAACTCACTGTCTCTATACCTCTGCTAACATTGTAGCAGTTGCTTTTCTGATTCCATAAAATAACCTCTTTATTTCTCCTCTTCAACTCAGAAGCTTTGTTTCTCTGTCTGCTCTTACCACTTTTTTTCTATCAGTAGCCATAACCTACAATTGAAATGGAACAACTGGATATGATGTAGGTGAAAATAAAGTATCAAAACATCAATATTTATCTAGAAGTAAGTGATGTAAGTCACTAATTTCCACAGAAAACAGGACTACTCTCCTGTAAAACTCTTACATGAAAAGGAGAATATTCAAGGTAAATCTTAATAGGTATCAGTACATTGTTTTCCAAATAGGATATTTTTCAATTTTACTTTGTTATGGAGAAATAGCACATATATTTGAGAGGAAGTGTTTTTATAGAAGGTACTCTGAACTATACCTAAACCAAAGACTAAAACTCTGTTGAAGGATCTCTTCAAAAGTCATATCAGTGGTTGGATTCCCCGTTGAATAGAAATGCTCCATCTCCAAGCTGTTTGTTTCTGCCTTGGCCTCCATCTTGGGCCACCTCTGTATGAAAACAGACAGTTTTCACAGCACACACTCACAACTGATGACTATTTGCATTGTGTCTTTCTATAAAATACCAACACCATCACCTCTCCTTTGGATTCACACACGGGAGAGAAGGGAATAAAAAGCTTTTGTGACCTACAAAAGCCTTACTTGAAATAATTCTCTACGACTTCGGGTCTTTTGGAATGGAAGGGATATATTGTTTTGACTTGATTAAAGCTGAAAAGTTGATTTGACATCCTGTTGTCAAGGAAACCAATTCACACACAAAAGAAAACAGTTGTGATGGTATCATTCAGACTATTCAAGTGACCTTAGAAAGAAAAAAAAGGCTTCAGTTCCAAAGATTTGTATTCAACTCACTTCACCACTGTAGAAATAAAGATCATTGCTCTTTATGCTTATTGGAAAGCAGTTTTCAATCTGGGAAAAGAAAAATGCCACATCTTCTTCCATCTGCCAGATCCAATACTTTGCTGGGACTATAAAACATAAACACACCTACCATTTATTTGCCTATTTTAAAGGACCACAGAAAGAATCATACAGAAGACTTATAGAGAAAGAGAAGGAATTTTTTTAGTTGACAGGACTATGATAAATATCCCCTGACACACACCACACCTATTGAACAGCAGCTCACGAGCCAGGTTTTAAAACATCCTCCTTCAACTACACATAGACCTTACCTCGAACACAGCATTGTTTGCATCCAGCTTTATTTTCCTGGGAGATATCAAGCAGCAGAATTTTTTTTCTCTGCCAGCTTCCTAGGTCCCTCACAAATTGAGTTTTCCATGCATGCAATAAATGAAGTATACCTGTGCTCAATCTGCTCACGCTTCCTGCCTACAGAATCCAAAGAGGCAGAGTTGTCCTGGCTGACCACTACCACCATCATCCAGCTTTGCAGCCCATGCAAGTCTCACAGAGGTTTCATTCCCTAACAGCTGTGAGTAGATTGGAGAAATGAAACTTTCTATCTGCTCACACACTGTAATTATACATCTCTTTCTCCAATGACACAGCCTCTGCCTGGCTGAGTGAGCAGACAGATGACTAAATAGCAACTTGTCTCAAATTCGGCTTAGGAAAAAAACAGCCATGATATTAATAAGGAGGGAAATATACTGAAGAATGAATGCCAGTGTTCTTACATTATTGTCATTTAAGGGCATCACACCAAAGGTCACGGAGATAATATGCCTCAGTCATTTTCCATTTGTTACACAACATACAAATTGCCACAGCATTAATGAATATCTTTTCCCATTCCTGGCCAGCCAAGACACTGTATTATTTCCTCTTAGACAAGCACCTAACCCTTGCAATTCATTATTTCCATCACTTCTTGCAGCACTTTGTCCTTAGGGCTGAGCATAAATGCCACAAGGCGACTGTGACTGGAGCATCAAATGCTTCGTATGCCTGAGTCTGACTTCCTTCTGCTAGAGCTTTTTTGATGGAAGAGCATACAAAGCGTATTGGTATCTTTTACAATCAAATATGTATACACACAAACATTCATACATGCTCTCTTACAAGTGTCTTAAAGCCCTTGCAGACCACAGGGGGGAAAAAAAATTACATTTTCTGCACTTTGTGGATATTGCTTGATAGCTATATATTGAAATAATAGTTATGCTACAAATACCAAATAACCACAGTAATAGAAGCTACCACGAAATAACTGCATTTCCACTTAAAACGATGACAACTGGAAAGTAGTTCTTGGAACAGAAATGACATTCACAGAAACGTGGAAGGGCTTCTATGAAGGGATATACTGCTTAAACCCTCTTTACTCCTAATAAACTGCTAAGATAGCAGAGCTGAGCTATATAGAGCTATACAGAGAGGAATGCCTCATTTCTAATCTATGCTTCATTGTATTTTAAGTTGAGGAATTTTGCATAAATATAGATAGGAACAGCTGAACCAAATTCCTACAATTTCATAAACTAAATGAGGGTTTTTTTAAGATGACAAATTATTATTTCCACTGTTCACTGTAAGTATAAAGAATATGCAGATGAAAAGAGAATATTGAAGGCTGGTAGCTTTGTACAGTTCTGAAAAGGACTAAACTTTATGTGCATAATTAAAATAAGAAAGAGAAGAATGAAGTCCAACACCAAATGATGAACTAAAATAAGGCAAGAGTACTTGCTGCATGTAATCAAACCACCTCCACCTCTGTCCCCCAGGCTGAAACAGTGCACACGGAATTTTAATGAACATCTTATCTTGGTATTTTCTCCTCTCCCACCCAACAAACTCAAACAGCAAGAGCCAGCCAGGAAAGAAGAAAGCTGATGGCACTGCTAAGCTTACCCACAAACAGGTCCATATTCCATAATGAGTTTTGTGTGGTTTTCCCAAAAACCCTGGAGAAAAATAAAAATAACAAAGCAGTTTAGAGCAGTACTTAACAGAAACTATTACTCAGTGTTGCTAACACTCACAAAGAGCTCTGAACCTCATCCAGAGGAACCATGGCATTAACTCATAGCCTCACCTTTCTCTCATTGTCCATATGTGCCATGCATAGAGTCCAGAAATTATGACCGAAAACGAAAAAAAATCCCAACCCAAAAAAATACCTGGAAAGTCATGAAACATGTTTTCATCAAGGTTTTACACTCCAAAATCTGTTAGTGTTTCATGATGTATTCTTTTTTAAACTAGTTTTTTTCATTGGGGTCCTGACTCAATTTTTTTCAGATACCTGAATGGATGGGAAAACTGACAGAGAAATTAACAGAGAAATTAATATGTGACTTAATGCACAAAAGAGAAACACAGGGAATGTGGTGAGGTCATCTTGATTTGGTTTTAGTCACATTACTTAAAAAAAACCACGCAAACCTGCAAAGTTGGAGTTTAGTACAAGGCAGTCACCTGAGACACTCTGCAGAACAGTAAGCAGATAAGTTTTAAAACATTTTTTGAATATTTACTGCATTTCATTGTCATAATTGATGCAAATTGGTAAACATTTATCTAAATAAACCTGCCACTATACTAAATTGTTAGTGTCCTAAATGGATTCAAATTGATTAATCTAAAGGTGTGCAAAATACATCCCCAAAAGTGAACATAAAAAAAAATCTGTTTTAATGAAACTACAGTATTTGAGAATCATGCTCCATTGTGTTTGTAACCCATCTATGAAAAGACAACACATTTAACTGCATTAATCTGCATTTCTTTCAATTCAAGGAAGTCTATCATGATCTATCTTCATTTCTAAGAGAAAATTTACTAATAAAGTAGAATACTTATGCCTCATATTGGATCTTTCTTATTTTTACGACATACGGCAGGTATTAGCTCACACAATATGAAGTGCTGTAAGTACATCTACTGCTGACATAAATAAACAAGACCATGAAATGTGTGTACGCTTCGAGAGCATTTTACCACACTAAGCACAAGAAAATCTGGTAATCAGAAGCAGTTATCTGACCTTGGGTGCTAACTTATTGCTCAAATCAGTAAAGCACTTACCATCACCTACAGTCCTCTTCTCGTAGAGCCCCTCAATTCTGTTTCATTCTTATAGTATGGTTGTGCTTTTTATTTTTTTTTAACCCTGGACTTGCAATACTTTTATTCTGCAGGACAATACGTCTCCGGTTTAGAGGCAAGAACTTTAGGTTTTTCTTTAGCTACAAAAAGCACTGGATGATGTGTAAGAAAACACACTAAAGATAAAATTATGAAAGAGGTGAATTAGATGACTGCCTGAAGAGAATATGCATTGCCTGAAAAGAAAACATATTCTCACATGAAAAATTCTTTACTACTAAGCTAAGCAGAAAAGCCTCATCCATTAGCACACAGAAATGAAGGTGGACAAAGCCTTTGTAATACCACAAATACATACAGCTAACTCAAAAAGGCTTTTATCTGCAGACACCATGGGAGGGGAAAAGCTACATACACATTCCCACCGCCCTGCATTTTGCTATAGCGATACTTCAGCCGTTGCAGGACTTCAACCTGCATTTGCCATGATTTCAGCATTACAAAGGTTGTCTACTGCCTTCCCCTGCTGATGCAACGAGAAATTCTGGGGCCAGATTCCCCCCAGCGCTATTCTCCAGGCGATCGTTTAAGGCTGAGTACAGCAGGTCCAGCTCATGGGCACGCTCTGACCACTCTGCCTGGGAGAGCAGCTCCGACCTGCACAAACACAGCTGACACTTGCAGCCACGCTGAGGCACCAGTGTGACACAGGGCACCGCTCGAGGTCACCGGGCACAGTCAAACAAGGGGTGCAAAGCACCGTTGTATCACAACTGTATTGGTTGCTCAGGGCAGAGGGACTTCCAGGCCTGTGAGACGATGCCAAATCAGGTCTGTTCTCCAGCCCACTTTCCTCCCAGCCTGAGCCTTCAGTGAGGACACCCCACACCACAGCCTGAACCTTGCCTGCCAAACTGTGCTTTGGATTGCAAGCACGCACATAGGTATTGCACTTGCTGTACCCACCAGCTGCATTCCAGTGAGCCAGCAGGATATTAACATTTTCAAAAAGCCTAGGCTTTAAATGATTCAGTGAAAAAGCCTTCCAGAAAGTCAGCTTCTTGGAATAACTGCTCCTGGCTCACTACAGTAGAGGGGTCAGGCAGAACACATTTCAAATCAGGTCTGTTAACCAGTAACTGGTTTTTCACCTCTAGGACTCCTAAATGATTGCACTGGCTTAAAATTAACCACACTTAATTTTTCTTCCTTAAAGTGAGAAGTACAAGCCTGCAGGGTGGGGGGAGAGAAGAAGTTGAAAAGTACCTAGGTAGAGACTGTGAGAAAGCATCCTCAGGAATAAGAAACGCCCTCATTCTCTATACTTCAGGACACTTTCTTATGTCCTGCACCACCGCACACACATACTCACCACTACCTGTCTCCACTGTTCACCCCCAGGGACCCCCTGCTATCCTAGCCCTCTTCACAGGCCTGGTAAGCCTTGGGTTGCCTGGGAAAGACAAGCACACGCAGAGCCCTGCGAGGCTGCAGTACCCAGAGCATGGGAGAGGCAGAGAGTACATGAACACGCATCCCTTACAAGGCAAGGCACACATTTCAGCTGGAGGAAGCTGGAGTCATACGAAGGTGCCTGTGTTTGCTTTTGATAGCCACGAGGAAGGCCAATGAACCTGCAATGGACTCAGAACACAGTGAGGGGATCTACCACATCCACACTGTTCTGCCAGTTTTGCAGCATCATCCCTGAACACGGCTTCCAGCAGACAGGTACCCTGAAAACATCCTCCTCCTCCTCCTATGAGTCATGTTTGAAGTACAGCAAGCCTTGTAAGTGCTTTTGGTAACTCATATACACTGTTTGAGGTTGGTCTGCTTCAAGGCTCATTATTGCAAGCTTGTGCAGGTCTATAATTGCAATTGCACTTGGTATATATTATACAACTAAGCACCTGCCCATCACCAGCAGCTGTTTTACAAGAAAATGGAGGTAGAGATCACTTCTCTTTGGCTGAAGATCAACCAGTGGATAAATATGAGAGGAAGCAAACTCAGAAATGGTACCTTCTAACTTGTACCCAGTGGCTTTAACAGTCCTAAGACAGGAGTTATAACAAAGCAATATGGTTTTTAGGCAGGCAAAAATCAAGGAAAAATGGAAACACGTATTCCGATTTTTTAAGAAAACAGAAGGAAACTGAAAAGCAAAACAACACACAGTGTCATGAGATGATATCGTGCATCAGGAGGAACTGTAGCGCATTACACAGTCACTCATAACAATTAAAAGCATAGTCGCTAATGCGCTCCAAGTCCAAAAAGTCACTTAGCTTTTTCTTTGTTTGGAAGCTGCAGAATATGAATTGTTATCAACAACAATTCAGAAAAGGGGCAGGCCAGGGGGGACGTGTTGCAGGTGGCCCATACAGTGAGGTACCAGCCTGATGACAGTTCATTATCAAACGAAATAATGCAGGAGTATGAAAAGCTTCTTTCCCTCCAGAAAGCATATTTTACAGCATCTGGTATACCATGGAAACAGCAGCTCAAGTGGGGGGACTGCTGCACACCCAGAAGGCTTCTTTGTTTACATGGCTGGCAGTTGCCTCCCTGCAGGGAATTTGCATTCTTCCCTTCCTCTGAGCATGTATCATCAGCTGCATCTGTGGGTAGAACCACTCACAAGGCCAAGTCCTGCCCTCAGACACAGGTATAATCCCTATGGAAGACAACGAGATTTGGGTCTGCATCAGCCAGAGCAAAGTCTGGGCATTGCCAACCATCTGTCTTGAGATATCATATGCTGAAGCTTCAGCTTGAGCAGCATACGTGAAAGGGCTTCAATTGCTCAAGTATCCCCTTTCCTTTTCTTAAATAGACTCTGCCACTCCAAGACAGATACTTCAGCAAATTCCTCCTCATTGCATATTCACCTTGCTAGTTCCTCACAGCAAGGAAAAAATCTGCAGCAATGTCATCTTCTCTCCTTGCTGAAAATGGGTTTAGGCACTAAGCCAAAGTTTTCAGAAAGAGGCAGTATTTCAGAGTAGCAATGTGTTTTGATTTTTGGGGTGTTTAACATGAGGCATGGCCAAACTATTCCTATTAGTTGCTCAATACCTGCAGATCTCCTGGCTGCAACCGGGAATTGATTCAGATTGAGTGGAGGATACTTTGAACATTTCAGCGTGTTGCAGTTGGAAAACAAATCATGTGGTTTATGAATTTAGCTATAGTCCTTAAGGGTCACTAGACAAAATGGTTTGAAGAGGGCCACAAAGCTGGGATCCAGCAGATGCAGGTTCCTGACAGTAACTCAAAATTTGGACTCCAAAAAAGGGTCCTGGAGAATGCAATGATGGTAGCCCTTGAATTTTGTAGCATACTGAATGCCACAATAGCTACTGAGCTCTGTGGAGGTGGATGTGATGAGCCCATCAAAATTCACTGCAAGTGGGAAACATTACCCATGCAAGAACAGCTAAGGGAAAAGGCTTCTTTTGTTGCCCCTTTCTGAAAAGTATCACATATTACCTGATGTCAGTCACTTATCAGGACACCTGGGATTCAAACTTGTGGCTCAGAAGCCAAAGATGCCACATCCCACAACTAGTCCTATATATGCTCCACCCTCACCACCCTATAGTCAGATGTGATATTCTGTTTCATCGTGATATTAATAACCACGGTAGCATTGTTTGATTGCATATCAAAAGATTTAAAAATCTATACAAGTATTTATGGTATAAAACGGCAATGAATGACATTTATGGATCAGCTTTTTAGTATTCAATGGGCTTTACATGTCTTTTTTCTTTAGACCACCTGAAAAAAACCCAATTGCTAATAACCTAGTACCCAAAGGGATTTTTTTTAACACAAGCTAACATTTAAT